CTTGAATATTCTCTTATTTGCCCTACAGACAACGGGATCAGATTAATTAATTAGTTCCACAGTGTTTATTTCGTGACAGACACTATTGTAACTGCTGAGGATGTAACACTGAACAAAATGACCAAGTCCTTGCGCCATGGAACTCACATTCTAGATGCAACAGATAAATAATAAATGAACAAGCCAATATAAAGAATGTCAGGTGCTGATTGGTGCTAAGAAGAAAAAGAGGGTGAGGGGATGGGAAAATGGGAGGGTTGCTGCTGTTTTATTTAGGGCGGTTAAAGAAGCCTTAAAGAAGGCAGCATATGAGGACAGACTTGAAGGAAGTGAGGGAGGGTGCTAGGTGGACTGGGATGCAGATGGGCAGAGACAAGTGTGTGCAAGGGCCCTGAGGCAGGGACATGGTTGCCATGCATGAGAAATAACGAGGTCACCAGCCTGGCTGGAGCACAGCGAGTAGATCAGGAGGGAGGGAGAGAGATGTGGGCAGGAAATGGGGTGAGACGATGTGGTGAGGGGAGGTGGGGGACAATTAAGAAAAATCCTGCAGGACCTTGTAGGTAATTGAAAAGGCTTTATCCCTTAGTAGAGAGACTGAGATCCCTTGAGGGCTTTGACCAGAGTAGTTACATGATTTGAAACACATCAGTGTGTTCTGTTTTTGTTTTTGTTTTTGAGATGGAATCTTGCTCTGTCACCCACGCTGGAGTGCAGTGGCGCGATCTCGGCTCACTGCAACTTCCGCCTCCCAGGTTCAACGATTGTCCTGCATCAGCCTCCCAAGTAACTGGGACTACAGGTGCGTGCCACCACGCCGGCTAAGTTGTGTATTTTTAGTAGAGATGGGTTTCACTGTGTTGGCCAGGCTGGTCTTGAACTCCTGACCTCAGGTGATCCACCTGTGTCGGCCTCCCAAAGTGCTGGGATTACAAGCATAAGCTACCATGCCTGGCTCAAACACATCATTGTTAAAAAATTTACAAAGGACCAACTTGCCCTCTGTTAAGATAATCCTGGTTAGTAATATTTCCACTTCAAACCACAGACTGTCTTGCTTTGAGGACTACCAAGCGGCCTTTAAAAAAAAAAGAAAAATTTTCTCAGATTTACTGGGACATGAATGACAAATAAAAATTGCATATACATTTACGATGTACAACATAATTTGATGTATGTATACATTGCAAAATGATTGCTATTATCAAGCTAATTAACCCATCTGTCATGATACATAGTTATCATTGTGTGTGTGTGTATGTATGTGTGTGTGTGTGTGGTGAGAGATCCACTTAAGATCTACTGTCTTAGCAAATTCCAAGTATACAATATAGCATTATTAACCAGTCAGTCACTATGCTGTAGGTTAGATTCCCAGAACTTTCTCATTTTACAACTGAATGTTTTATATTCTTTGACTAACATATACCGATTGCTCCAAGCTCTCAGACCACGGCAACCACCATTATACTCTCTGCTTCTGTGAATTTGACTTTTTTAGGTTCCACATGTAGGTCAGATCCACGCAGAAGTGCAGTATTTGCCTTTCTGGCTATCTGGCTTCTTTCACTCAGCATGAGGTGGTTCATCCCTGTTGTCTCAAACGGTAGGATTTCCTGCTACTTGTGGCTGAATAATATTCCATTGTATGTATATACCACATTTTCTTTATTCATTCATCAATTAACAGACATTTAGGTTGTTGCCATGTATTGATTATTGCGAATAACACTGTAGTGAACATGAGAGTGCAGCCATCTCTTTCACATGTTGATTTCATTTCCTTCTGATATATACCCAGAAGTAAGATTGCTGGATGATATGGTAATTATGCTTTTAAGTTTTTGAGAATTTCCCTATCATTTTCTACAATGGCCATATGAATTTACCGTCCCACCAACAGTGTGCAAGCGTTCTCTTTTCTTCATATTGTCCCAAACATTTGTTATCTTTTGTCTTTCTGATAATAGCCACTCTAATAGGTGTGAGGTGATATCTCACTGTGGTTTTAATTTGCATTTCCCTGATGATTAACATTGTTGAATACCTTTTCGTATACCCATTGGCCGTTTGAATGTCTTTTTTGAAAAATGTCTGTTTAGGTCCTTTGTCCATTTTAAATTTTTTGTTTTGTTTTTTTGCTATTCAGTTGTGTGAGTTCCTTGTATATTTTGGATATTAACCCCATATCAGATGTTTGGTTTGCAAATATTTCCTTTCCTTTTGTTGGCTGCCTTTTCATTTGTTGATTGTTTCCTTTACTAACTGCAGAAGATTGTTAGTTTGATGTATTCCACTTGTTTATTTTTGCTTTTGTTGTTTGTACTTATGAGATCTTTCATGTGTGTACGAGTGCTATGGTGAAGCTAAATTTTAGTAAGTCATTCATTCATTCATTTAAATCAGTGATTGAGCTTCACCTAAGTGCCAGGAACTGCTCCTGGCATTTGGGATAAAGGAGTGAATAGGACGAACAGTTCTGCTTGCAGGAGCTTCCTCCCAGGTTCAAGTGATTGTTGAACTGTTTCTTCCTTACCATGAAGAAACAGTTAACAAGCAAGTAAATAGAAGATATTTCAGCTGATGAGAAGGGTTAGGAAAAAACAAAACAGAGGAGATGAAATGATGATGCCATTAGAGAGGCTACTTTTAAGATTCTAGTTGGATTTTGAAATGCGGAACTTAGGCTAATAGTGTTACACATGTAGATCAATTTACAGTTTACAAATTGAGGCCAGGCACAGTGGCACATGCCTGTAATCCCAGCACTCTGGGAGGCCGAGGTGGGCAGATCACTTGAGGTTAGTAGTTCGAGATCAGCCTGGCCAACAACATGGCAAAACCCCGTCCCTACTAAAAATACAAAAATTAGCCGGGCATGGTGGTGGGTGCCTGTAATCCCAGCAACTCAGGAGGCCGAAGTGGGATAATCACTTGAACCTGGGAGGTGGAGGGTGTAGCATAAGCTGAGACCACACCACTGCATTCCAGCCTGGGTGACAGAGCAAGAGTCTGCTAAAAAAAAAAAAAAAAAAAGGCTGGCAAGAAAGCTATTATTATCCTGATTTTTCAAATGAGGTCCACTGAAATTAAGCGACATGCCCAAGGCACTAGTAAGTGGCAGAACTGGGGGCTGAACCCAAGTTTTCTCTAATGTTCAGTACCAAAGATTTTCTCACAGTATGCAATACTTTGGGAAGTACATGTAGAGATGGGTAACACTGGGGCCTGGGATAAAGAAATTAGCCATAATTAGGCAAGAAAGGTATGAAGCACATGCCAAAACATAAACAGAACACAAAAGTGCAAGAAGGGTAGCTAGCTCCCCCTAAGGTCATGCAAAACAACCGGTCAGACATAGAGGGACCGGACAAGGTGGCTCACACTGTAATCCTGGCACTTTGAGAGGCCAAGGCAGGCAGATCACTTGAGATCAGGAGTTCGAGACCAGTCTGGCCAACACTGCAAAACCCTGTCTCTACAAAAAATTAGCCCAGTGATGGTGGTGTACACCTGTAATCCCAGCTACTCGGGAGGCTAAGAGAGGAGAATCGCTGAAACTCGGGAGGCGGAGGTTGTAGTAAGCTGAGAGCCCGCCACCAAGGCACTCCAGCCTGGGTGACAGAGTCAGACTCCGTCTTAAAAGAAAAAAAAAGATATAGAGGACCTCTAGTCCCACAGCCCCACTTCCACAGGGCTGAGATAATCAGAAGAGAAGGCCTCTTGCCTTGAACGGTTGTTCTTAGTAACTTGGGCTGGGGGAAGCTTTGGATCACATGTGGTTTCAATCACTACCTTTATCTGCATCATCGTCACTGTATTTGGAAGATGACTGAATCCTCATTTCTGCCCCAGGCCTCTCTACATTGTGCAGGGGGTACAAGTCAAATCTGGAAAAGCTGTCTCATCTTTGGCAGGTCAGCAATAGGGAGAGGTTTCAGGAATGTACAGTAATGTCCCACCCACGCCCCTTCCCCGCTTTAGTAAAACAAATCTGAAACAACAGAGGTCTAAAACTTTCCACTGTATCATTTCACATTGCCGTGTTATAACCCTGCCCTTCATCCACACCCCGCTGGGGTTTTTGCAGCCTAAGGGAAGCCGGGAAATGTCTGCTTCTAGCCTCAGTCACTCCCATAATAAGCAATCACTAAACAGCGGGCTGCCCTAGGCAACTGTCCAGCTTGCCCTAACCCCGAGACTTCAGCTAGGCCAGACGGTGGGAGGTGTTCTCTGTAAAGCAGTATTCAGGCTCTGAGGCCAGGGAGTTTGGCTTTGACCAGAGATTCGGTTTGGGAATTTAGCACATCTTTGTGGACCTGGAGGATCTTTAGCCAGACTGCTGGTCAGTTACCTGAGTTATCCAATGAAGTTCTTCCACTGGGGGTGGCAGGAGCTTGGGGTCAGGGAGTTGGGAGGTTAACGAAGGAAGGTCCAACCATTTGGCACTAACTGTAAATAAGGTCACTTTCCTGATATAAGTTTCCCTTCTATAGCTGGGACAGTTTGCAATTCTACCAGTCATCCTTCCTTCCACCACCACCACCACTGCCACCACCAAGAGAATAACATTGCTCTGAGGACTGGGGCAAGCTTGTTAACTGATTTCTCTGCAGCCATTAGAAAATCTTTTTTCTCTGATTGGATCTCTTGGAAGCTTTCTTCACAATAGACAGAGGGGGTTCAGGCAAGGCTGCCTAAGTAGATAATGAGGATTTAGGATAGCTGTCTTATACTCCTAGCACACAGAGGCAGGCACGAAGAATTGCAACAATTCCTCTTGATTGTAATAATTCCTCTTTATTGTTGGGGACTGGGGTGTCTCCTTGGTTTAAGAAAAAGATGTGCTTTGTAAGGGAGGAGTAAGGGGAGACTGCTTTAATGCTTAGCTGGGTCTCGGAGAGTGGACGGAGGGTTGGGAGAGGCAGCTTTCGGATCGGCAGTCGCTTTCTACCAAGTCTTTCTTTCCTCCCTGCTTCGCACTTTCAAAGCATCCTTCTCTAGGCGTTCCGGCAGGCAGCCCAGGAGACCGGATTCTCCAAGGCGCCCGGGGCCGCGAAGCACGGGGCCCCCGCCGGTTCCTCCTTCCCGGGCCGCCTCGTTTCCGCAGGCGCCTCCGGTCCCCGGCACTGCGCAGACCGACATCCTGGCCTGGGCGCGTCGCGGGGCCACGGGACTCGCCCCGGGCCGCCCCGCGCTCCACCAGCCCGCCCGCCCGCCAGCCGCACGCAGCCCGGGAAGCCCCGGCTCCCCGCGTCCCCCGCGCCCCCGACGCCGCGCCGGCGCCTCAGCCCGCGGCCGGGGGTTATGAATGGGCGCAGCGGAAGCACCGCCCCCCCCGGACGTGACGCTCGGCCAATGGCAGCGCGGGCTGCGTGGATGGATGAGGTCAGCGCTGTCGTGTCGGGAATGGAATGTGTAAGTGTAACATTCAGAACCGGGTAACATTCGGCGACCGAACGCGGCGGTCGGCAGCGATCGCGCGGGGGCCTGCGAAGCGCCGCTCGGGGCCGGCACTGCCCGCGGGGAGGAGGCGCCGCCGCCGCCGCCACCGCCACCCAGCGCCGCCGCAGCCGCTGCCGCCTCCAGCCCGGGCCGCCGTGCGCCCCGGGGGCCGGCCCCGCGAGCGCAGGAGTAAACACCGCCGGAGTCTTGGAGCCGCTGCAGAAGGGAATAAAGAGAGATGCAGGGATTTGTGAGGTTACGGCGCCCCAGCTGCAGGATGCACTAGCCGGCTGAACCCGGGATCGGCCGACTCGTGGGAACCGGAGTGCTCTGCACGGAGTGGTGGATGAGTTGAAGTTGCCTTCCCGGGGCTCGTTTTCCACGCTGCCGAGAGGAATCCGAGAGGCAAGGCAATCACTTCGCCTTGCCATTGATTGGGTATCGGGAGCTTTTTTTTTTTTTTTTCCTCCCCTCTCTCTTTCTTTTCCTCCGTCTTGTTGCATGCAAGAAAATTACAGTCCGCTGCTCGCCCGCCCTGGGTGCGAAATATTCAGCCCCGCTCTCTCCCGTGCATCGTGCAACCCGAAGATGAAAGACCGAAGGGGAGAAAGTTAAAGAAATCGCCCACATGCGCTGGATCAGTCCACGGCTTGGGGAAAGGCATCCAGAGAAGGTGGGAGCGGAGAGTTTGAAGTCTTTACAGGCGGGAAGATGGCGGACTGGAGCTGAAAGTGTTGATTGGGAAACTTGGGTGATTCTTGTGTTTATTTACAATCCTCTTGACCCAGGCAGGACACATGCAGGCCAAAAAACGCTATTTCATCCTGCTCTCAGCTGGCTCTTGTCTCGCCCTTTTGTTTTATTTCGGAGGCTTGCAGTTTAGGGCATCGAGGAGCCACAGCCGGAGAGAGGAGCACAGCGGTCGGAATGGCTTGCACCACCCCAGTCCGGATCGTTTCTGGCCCCGCTTCCCGGACGCTCTGCGCCCCTTCGTTCCTTGGGATCAATTGGAAAACGAGGATTCCAGCGTGCACATTTCCCCCCGGCAGAAGCGAGATGCCAACTCGAGCATCTACAAAGGCAAGAAGTGCCGCATGGAGTCCTGCTTCGATTTCGCCCTTTGCAAGAAAAACGGCTTCAAAGTCTACGTATACCCGCAGCAAAAAGGGGAGAAAATCGCCGAAAGTTACCAAAACATTCTAGCGGCCATCGAGGGCTCCAGGTTCTATACCTCGGACCCCAGCCAGGCGTGCCTCTTTGTCCTGAGTCTGGATACTTTAGACAGAGACCAGTTGTCACCTCAGTATGTGCACAATTTGAGATCCAAAGTGCAGAGTCTCCACTTGTGGAACAATGGTAGGAATCATTTAATTTTTAATTTATATTCCGGCACTTGGCCTGACTACACCGAGGACGTGGGGTTTGACATCGGCCAGGCGATGCTGGCCAAAGCCAGCATCAGTACCGAAAACTTCCGACCCAACTTTGATGTTTCTATTCCCCTCTTTTCTAAGGATCACCCCAGGACAGGAGGGGAGAGAGGGTTTTTGAAGTTCAACACTATCCCTCCTCTCAGGAAGTACATGCTGGTATTCAAGGGGAAGAGGTACCTGACAGGGATAGGGTCAGACACCAGGAATGCCTTATATCACGTCCATAACGGGGAGGACGTTGTGCTCCTCACCACCTGCAAGCATGGCAAAGACTGGCAAAAGCACAAGGATTCTCGCTGTGACAGAGACAACACCGAGTATGAAAAGTAAGTGTCTGGGCTGGCGTGTCTTTGCGAGTCAGCCTTGGGCCCTGCCTGCCTTGGTCCAGGTGTGAAGTTGGGGGATGGGGTGGGGGCGGATGAGCCCTCAGTCCTCTTCTCACTTTGAGCCTGGAATTGAGCAAATCCGGTTCAGGTGTGCAGCTAGAGGCTGGGAGAGTTGGAGCTCCTCGGGCAAACTGAAAAGCCTGGAGCACCTTCCCGAGCCAAGTAGATGACAGTGTCTCCCTCTTGCTTAGAAAACCTTCAGGGCGGAGTGTCTCCTGCTAAAAGTAGGGTTTTGATCCAAGTTTAGTAACTGCATTTCAGGCATGGGTATTGGAGGGTGTTTCTGAGGGTGTTTAGAGACCCAAAGAGGCTGTGATCTACCAAAAGTCCAGAGACTTACCACCAAGAGTGATGCTTTTGTTTGCTTTTCTGGTGAGTGGGGGTACCTACTTTCCCAGGAGTTTTCACAACTTCACATTTTCTGTAAGCCTGTAATTCATGTTAGCTGTGGAAGTGTTTAAATTTTATCTAACTGTGTGGCCCTTTCCTCTCTCCCCCATGGCATTGACTTTTATAAAGGGAGACTGTAAACTTGTTGGGTCTGTGGCTTTGCATGCATGCATGCACTCATTCATTCATTCATTCATTCATTTATTCATTCATTCATTTCTGTACATGTCCTGTCTCTTTCCTAGGAGAAACTGTTTTTTAATCTGGGCCTCAGTCCCACTGTCTGAACTCCAGTTGCTAATTTAGATTTCCCATTCTCTTTTGTCTTTATCTATTTGCATATAAATTGTAGACTGTTACTCTTTGAATGGGTGTGAGATGCCTCCTTACCCTCTGTAGTGAGGCAAGTTTTGTCCAGTTGCTAAGTGACTGAGTTGGTTACTTTGTAGCCCTTTTCACTCTTCCTTTTTCCTTCCCAGTGACAGTAACTGACACGGGATTTGGAGTCAAAGCTAGATTCCACAAATCTGCTTTACCCTGAGCTTGGTGGACCAGTTGCCTAGTAGGTGGGGTTGCCGCCCAGACTCTCACTTATATCGGAGTGTGGAAGAGTTAGTGAGTTCCTACAGTGCATTTCCACGTTACGCCAGTTAAAAGCCAGAGCAGCCTTGTGCTACCCAGGGAAGGAAGGGGAACCTCTCAGCTGAGTACAAGAGGAACTGGCAGAGGCTGGCAGATTTTGCAATTGATTCATGAAATGCAGAATAGGGGAAAGGCTTCACAAACCTGATTGGAACAGGAAGGGGTATGGTGGGAAACTGGCCTTGAAATGAAAGGTTTGATTGTTGTCTGTGCATTTTCTCAGACACTAGGGCCTCTATAGGAGTGATTGGAAGGGAAATTAAAGTCCTCCAAGACTTGATCATAGAGAGTGAAGGAGAAAGTATCAGGCACTCAGATTCTGCTTTCAACCCCGGATACCTTTTGCTTTTCAGGCATAAGAAAAGCCGGAGACTAGGATCAATTATGAATCCATAGTTTCCTCTCATTCAGGGGCAGTTATGTGTGAATGTGTAGTTGCAATGGATTACAATTTTCTCATAAAAGACATCTAAACTATGGTTAGTAATGAACTGCTTTGTTTATACGACATTTACATTGACCTATTTCTGTGGGTGCTTGTAAGAAAAAAATGCTTATTGCCTTTCAGGAATTTCTTTGTCTGGTTTATGGTGGAGTAACTCGAGATGAAGTCTAACCTTTCTGGGTCTTCTAAAGCAGTCTCACAGAATGCTGTGGAAGGATCACTATATTCTTAATCCTTCTAAAGGGGCTAAAGCTGAGATTTCAGCTAAGGAAATTTGAATTATACATTTATTTGGAAAATACCCTCCATCCAAGGGAACAATATTTCTTATCCTTATGTTCCTAAAATAAAGTTTCTACGTTTTCTGTGGAATGGAAACGTTTTCTAGAGATCAGCAATGAAGGAAGGGAGGGGTTGGTTTCTTTAAAACTTTAGTGTTTACCAATTAAATTTAATTTTTTACCTCTTTGTGATCGGGCCAAGAAATATGACACCCACACTTTGGTTTATGTTTAAAGACCACAAGGGGTCAAGACCTCAAGACTGGGTCTGATGAGAAAAGTGGTGTTTAGTAGAGAAGCAAGTTTGTTCTGTCTCCCAAGCAGGGATCTCTTTAGGAGGGACACGTCTGGATTTTCATTATGTTCCCCTTTTGCATACCTTGCAGCCCTAAACTTGCATGACAGCCCGGGATGGTGCTGCAAAAGGTTTACATTCACTCACCTGGTATACCTGAGTTTTGACTCATTTCTCTCAGTGTGTTAGCAGAATTATTTGTCTTTGAGAAATGGTGCTTACAAACTTTATTGCCTTTTATTATTGCCTTTGTAACACATGAAGATGAAGCAAGAACTCTTAAATTTGGAGATATGCTAGCAGAGCAAGCAACGTGTGTTGTGCTCTGGCGGAAGAGCAACTACTGTGCTACTTATATTGGTGCTTTCTGGAAGATAGCCTTAGATAATGTGAGATGTGGAACTACTCAAGTCAAGTCTCTCTAGCCAGTCTCTCTGGCCCCTTAGGAGGCAGCTATATTGAAGTTAGGTTTGTAGATGTGATCTATGTAAGTTTGGCTTCTCATACTGACTCATGGTGTGACTTCTGATTAGTCACCTTGAGCATTAGTTTGGGTTTTGTCGAGTGGGTTTTAGACTGCTTCAGGGGTTCTCTAAGCACTTACTTGGTAATAGCTTATAAAAACACAATCAATTTTCATCTAATTTATTAGCACGTGTATGTGGGGGAAAAAAAGCTTTAATTTAATTTGCTCCCTCAAGCAATCACCTGTAAGTTTCCTCTGGAGCAGACTTTATGGGGTCTGATGATTACATCAAAAATTTATGGTATCATGATAAAGTTAGAATACTATAGAGTATATACAAATGTATCAGCTAAACAAATTGTTGCTTTTGGTGAAAGAGAACATTATGTGTCAGTAAAGATTTAGTGCTAAATGAGCAAGGACTTCTGTCTCACCTGTGCCTTTGTGAAAATTAGACATTGATTACAAAGGTATGGGAGAGCTACATGGAATGAAGGAAAATGACATTTCTAATAGGAAATAAATTTCTTTTGTCATTTTTTTGACCCAGACATCCAGGAATGTATTAAAATATCAATTTTTATGATACCCGTATTTTTTAATCAGTTATATATTTTAACGCACATGGATGATGCCAGCTAAAATCACTGCAGTAATTAGATGATTTGTAATGATGCTTTAGAGAAATTCTATTTTATGTTCTTTCAGCTGCTTATGCATCCTCACAGAATTACTGTATTTTTACATGAACTTCATAGTTCATGTCCCTACAAAGGGCATTATTGTGAAACTTTAGGTTCAGGTATTTGAAATAGAAGAAAGAGAGGGAAAGAAGAGGTGGCTTCTATCTTCGGCCCCCTTTAAAAGGAAAGCAAGAGTGAATATTTAAAGCTTTTCTGGGAACAGGGAAGATAGTGTGCACATCTTTTTGATATTTTCCTTTTTCTTGTTTGCTAATGCTGTACCTCACAATTCTGATGTCTTTAAGGGTCTTGAAGGTAAGAGATCATTTGGCTTCCAACATCCTGATTTTTACAGATGTAGACACTGAGGAACAGAATGTTTCAGGGATTTGCTAAGGCCAGAAAACTGTTTAGTGACAAGGGTAGCACTAGAATGCAGGCCCCTGAATTTTGCCTTGATTCATTTCTACTCTCAGGCACCCTTGAAAATTCACCAGCCACGAGGAGATTCTCATTAATGATGTTTACTATGGGATTTCTCGTAGAATACTTCAGTAATCTGATGAAAACTTGGAGGACACTTTTGTAAAAATAAATGATAAGTAAATAAATAAAAGCATATTCACAATTTGTCATATGGTTTCAGGGGCTGACGCACGCACACCTCCTGCTGAGGGCATCCTCAGACTTACAAACACTTGCTCTGGGAGTTTACATTTTGCCTGTTTGCTTAGTTGGGTAGGTCTGTGGAGCTGTTTAGTCTAGGAGTTTTTTGAACCTTTCAATTTGGCCCTAAGGGGTTTAGAGAATAGGCTGTGCATTGACTGAACAATAAGTTGAATTCTGTGCACTTATAGCAAAAAGAAACTATGCACAGGACAAGTCATAATGCTAAATGCTTTTATCTTTTCTTCCTCATTATCTCAAACTGTGTTAGCAGACACCTTGATCAAGTTCCTGATCCAGCAGTGAACCTTAGATGAATGTTTTCCTTCTCCAAAATGACAGGTGGGAATTGAGATTCTCAGGTTTTAAATGTAAAATATTAGCGCCTTTCTCCCCACAGTTGTACAAAAGCATTTCTAAAATAAACCAAATTAACAAAGTTAAAAAATAAGGTAGGGCCAGCCCTGTGGAAAATTATGAAGTTGGCTTGTTTGTCTTCTGACACTGAGATGCTGGTTCTCTCCTCTCTTTCCTTTCTCGCCTTTTTCTAAACCTGCTTTCTGGAGCGCACCCGAGAGCCTCAATCACAAGGAATCCCTGAATAAGGGTTGGAGTGTTAATTGCTACTTTTAGGGACATTTGTATTATTACTGGATTCAGCCTAACAAGTGAGGGTTTCCAGTGGAGCCTGTGACCTAAGCTACGGGCCTTCAGGAGTTTACGCTACAAAAAAGTGGCTTGCTACTAAGGTTTGGGCAGGTCCTGCCAATAGGAGGCAACTTTTGGTCCCCCTGACTGTGACAGCAGCTTTGGATGGCAAAAGGGGTGATGCCACACCTGCAGGTGGTGATGGTTCATACTGTCAGAAGGCCTGGCGATCTGCCTTCCCAGAACACAGTGCTGGAAATACCTGCCAATAGTGACCTTTAATATGCCAATGTCTCAGCAGAAGTTGTGCTTGGTAGGGCCTGGCCGCCTTGCTCACAACTGTCTTCAAAATGTCTTCTCAGGCTGTGTTGCCGGTGTGTAAACGGAGGAAAAAGGTGGTAAGGTGGGTGGCCTGAGGCTATGC